GGGGGAAACTGCGGCGTTGGAGGGCCGGGAATGCACAAGGGGTCCTTGTGCCGGGCCCTTCCTTGGCCGGGAGGTGGGAAGAGGCTGCCAAGCTCCTTTCCCGAGGCGCCGGGAAGGGGCGGTGGAGCCCTCGGAGCCGCCGCCTTCCTTCCTCCCCACGGCCCCTCTCCGGGAATTCCCCGGGGATGGGGGGCTCCCTGCTGCCTTTGGAACGGGGGGATCCCCCTGTGGGACCCCCAGTGTGGAGCTCCGTGGGGAGGGAGAGCTGCTGGGAAAGGGAAAAGTCCGGGAAGGGGGTTATTTTTGGAGGGTTGGGAATGTGCTGCTGCTGCTGCTGCTCCTGCTCCGGGACAGGGAGCACGGCCTGGCCTGAGCCCGTTTCCAGAGCTGGAGCCAACCTTGGCCTGGCTGTTGGGCTGGGGGCCAAGGGCTGGGATTTGGGGCCGGGCCAGCTCGGTGGGACTAAAAATAGTGAGGGGAGGGCGGGAGGAGGGTCCTGGATCCCGGGACAGGAGATCCCGGCTGACACCTCCCCCCAGCCCGGCTGCTCCAGGTCCAGCCTGGCCTTGGACACTCCCAGGGATCCAGGGGCAGCCAGAGCTGCTCTGGGAAATTCATTCCAGTCTCTCACCGCCCTCACGGGGAAGAGTTTCTTCCCAGTGTCCCACCCAAATCTCCCCTTTTCCAGTGGGAAGCCATCCCCTGTGTGCTGTCCCTCCCTGCCTTGTCCCCAGTCCCTCTCCAGCTCTCCTGGAGCCCCTTCAGGCCCTGCCAGGGGCTCTCAGCTCTCCCTGGAGCCTTCTCTTCTCCAGGGGAACCCCCCCAGCTCTCCCAGCCTGGCTCCAGAGGGATCAGGGATCATTCCCACGGCTCCCTCTGGATCTGCTCCAGCAGCTCCCTGCTCCGGAGGGGTTTGGGTGTCCCTGGGGCGGCCCCTTCCCCGCTGAGCCGTGCCCTTTCCCAGGTTCCTGGGGGAGTGCCGGGTGCCCCTCCGGGATGTCCTGGGCACCCCCAGCCTGGCGGCCTCGTTCAACCTCCCGCTGCTGGACACGCGCAGGGAGGGCACCGGGGTGAGTCTGGGCTGGGCACCAGGGTGGGCTGGGAGCACAGGGTGGCACCAGGATGGGCAAGGAAATCCCAAAGTGGCACCAGGATGGGCTGGGGGATCCCAGGGTGGCACTAGGATGGGCTGGGGGATCCCAAAGTGGCACCAGGATGGGCTGGGGGATCCCAAAGTGGCACCAGGATGGGCTGGGGGATCCCAAAGTGGCACCAGGATGGGCTGGGGGATCCCAGGGTGGCACCAACACAGGGTGGGATCCCAGGGTGGCACCAGCACAGGCAGGGCACGGCTGGGGGGGGTCCCAGTATGAGACCAGTATGGGCAGTGCATGTTTAGGTGGGGCTCCCAGTGTGAGACCACTCTTGGCCATGGCCTGGCCCAGCCAGGTGGGGCTCCCAGTTTGAGACCAGTACAAGCCACAGCCTGGCCAGTCTGAGCCCAGTGTAAGCAATGGCCCTCCCAGTTTGAGCCCAGTCTGAGCAATGGCCCTCCCAGTTTGAGCCCAGTGTAAGTAGTGGCCCTCCCAGTTTGAGTCCAGTCTGAGCAATGGCCCTGTGAGTTGTAACTCCCAGTTTGAGACCAGTCCAAGCAACATCCCTGCCAGTTTGAGACTGGTCTGAGCCCTGTCCCTTCCAGTGGCAGCTCCCAGTTGGAGGCCAGTCCAAGTAATGTCCCTGCCAGTTAGAGCTCCCAGTTTAAGACTGGTCCAGACTGTCCCTGTGAGTTTGAGACCAGTCTGAGCCCTGTCCCTGCAGCTGCAGCTCCCAGTTTAAGACCAGTCTGAGCAATGTCCCTGCAGCCTCAGCTCCCAGTTTCGGCTCCCAACTTGAGACCAGTCTGAGCAGTGGCAGCTTCCAGTTTGAGACCAGTCCAACCAACGTCCCTCGCACTTTGTGACCAGTCTGAGCCTTGTCTCTGTCAGTTGGGGCTCCCAGTCTGAGCCCAGTTTGAGCCCAGTCTGAGCCCTGTCCCTCCCAGTCTGAGCCCAGTTTGAGCCCAGTCTGAGCCCTGTCCCTCCCAGTCTGAGCCCAGTCTGAGCCCAGTTTCAGGCCAGTTTTCCCAATTCCCTCACCCCCATGTCCCAGTTTGCCCCCCGTTATCCCTCCCTGTGCTCCGTCTCACGGCATTCCCTGTTTCCAGGCGTTCCTGCTGCTCCAGGTGTCCTACCTGCCCCCCCCGGGGGCCATCCCGCTGTTCCCGCCCGCGGCCCCTCCGGAGCCGGCCCCGGCTGCGGCCGAGCTGGACACGGGCACTGGTGAGAGCCCCCCCGGTGCCCCCCAGATCCCGGTCTCTGGCCCCATTCTCATGTCCCCGTGTCCCTCTCCCCATATCCCAGTCTCTGGCCCCATTCCCACATCCCCGTGTCCCTGTCCCCATATCCCGGTCTCCGGAAGCCCCGTTCCCACATCCCGTGTCCCTCTCCCCATATCCCGCTCTCTGGCCCCATTCCCATGTCCCCATGTCCCTCTCCCCATATCCCAGTCTCTGGAAGCCCCATTCCCACATCCCGGTGTCCCTCTCCCCCTATCCCGGTCTCTGGCCCCATTCCCACATCCCCGTGTCCCTGTCTCCATATCCCAGTCTCTGGAAGCCCCATTCCCACATCCCGGTGTCCCTCTCCCCCTATCCCGGTCTCTGGCCCCATTCCCACATCCCCGTGTCCCTCTCCCCATATCCCGCTCTCTGGCCCCATTCCCACATCCCGGTGTCCCTGTCCCCATATCCCGGTCTCTGGCCCCATTCCCACATCCCGTGTCCCTGTCCCCATATCCCGCTCTCTGGCCCCATTCCCACATCCCGTGTCCCTGTCCCCATATCCCCCCCGGGAGGCCCCATTCCCACATCCCGTGTCCCTGTCCCCATATCCCACCCTGGGAGGCCCCATTCCCACATCCCTGTGTCCCTCTCCCCATATCCCGCTCTCTGGCCCCATTCCCACATCCCGTGTCCCTGTCCCCGCTCCAGAGGCGGCCGAGGAGGAGGAGCCGGAGGATCCCGGGGTGACGGGGGACGAGGCGGAGCCGTCGTCGTCCTCGGGCCCCCCCGGCTCGGAGCCCCCCCCGCCCCACAGACCCCAAACCCAGCCCAGCCTGCGGGGCAGGAGGGGCAGGAGCAGTCCCAAAAAACCCCTGGCCAACAAACCCCAGGACTTCCAGGTGGGAGGGGAAGGGGTGGTGGGGTGGGACGGGAATGGTGGGTGGGATAGGATGGGAATGGTGGGTGGGGTGGGACGGGAATGGTGGGTGGGGTGGGATGGAATGGGAATGGTTGATGGGGTGGGAATGATGGGTTGGTGGAAAGAGAATGGTTGGTGGGATGGGATGAGAACCATTGATAGGATGGGAATGGTTGGTGGGTTGGGATGGGAATGATGAGTGGGATGGGAATGGTTGATGGGTTGGGATGGGAATGGTTGGTGGGATGGGAATGGTTGATGGGTTGGGATGGGAATGATGAGTGGGATGGGAATGGTTGGTAGGATGGAATGGTTGATGGGGTGGGATGGGAGTGATGGGTGGGATGGGATGGGAGTGATGGGTGGGATGGGGTGGGAATGGTTGGTGGGAGGGGATGGGAATGGTGGGTGGGATGGGAATGGTGGGTGGGATGGGATGGGAATGGTTGGTGGGATGGGATGGAAATGGTGGGTGGGATGGGATGGAAGTGGGTGGTGGAATGCCATGGGAATGGTGGGTGAGATGGAAGGAGTGGCAGGATGGGATGGGATGGGATGGAATGAGATGGAAGTGGGTGGTGGGATGGGAATGGTGAATGAAATGGGAATGGTTGGTGGGATGGGATGGGAATGGTTGGTGGGATGGGAATGGTTGGTGGGATGGGAATGGTTGGTGGGATGGGAATGGTGGGTGAGATGGAAATCGTTGGTGGGATGGGATGGTAGTGGGTGGTGGGATGGGAATGGTGACTGAAATGGGAATCGTTGGTGGGATGGGGTGGGATGGGAATGGTGGGCAGGATGGGATGGGAACGGTGGGATGGGAATGAGCTGCTCCCCTGGAGCCCCTTGAGAACCCCCCAGTTTGTCCCTGTGGAGGGTTCAGCACCTCACAGGTGGCCCTGGAGCATTAGTTAATTAATAATTAATAGTAATAATAATAATCGCAATTAATGCCATTTAATTGCTTTAAATTTTTAAAAATTCAATTTAATGCCAATTTTGAAATTGCCTTAAATTTTTAAAAATTCAGTTTAATGCCATTTTTAAAATTTAATTCAGTTCTTAAAAATCCGATTTAATTTCTAACTTAAAATTCCGTGAATTTAAAAAAAAAAAAATCGGATTTAATTTCGAATCTAAAAATCGCCTCCAATTTTTAAAAAACTCGATTTAACTTCGAGCTTAAAAAAATCGCCTTAAATTTTTTTGAAAGCTCGACTCAACTTCCGATTGAAAACCGAGATGGGATTTGATTTGTTTTCTCTCGGTCGGGGTGGGACTTAGGGAAGCTCTGGGAGGTGTTTCACTCCTTTCCATCCCCACTCCCCCCCCGTGCCTGTCCCAGATCCGGGTGCGGGTGATCGAGGCCCGGCAGCTCCCCGGGATCAACATCCGGCCCGTGGTGAAGGTGACGGCGGCCGGACACACCAAGAGGACCCGGATCCGCAAGGGGAACAGCCCCTTCTTCGACGAGGTGAGGGAGATCCCCTGCTGGCACTCACCTGACACTCGTCTGAGAGAGGATCCCAGAACCAGCTGGGTTGGAAGGGACCTCCGAGATCATCCAGTCCAACCCTTGATCCAACCCCGCCGTGGTTCCCAGCCCATGGCACTGATGCCACATCCAGTCTGTCCTTAAACACCTCCAGGGATGGAGAATCCACCCCTTCCCTGGGCAGCCCATTCCAATGGCTGAGCACCCTCTCTGCAAAGAAATTCTTTCTAATCTCCAACCTAACCCTCCCCTGGCACAGCTCAAGACCCAGCCCTCTTCTCTTGCTGATGGTTGCCTGGGAAAAGAGCCCAATTCCACCTGGCTCCCCCCTCCTGTCAGGGAGTTGCAGAGAGTGAGGAGGTCTCCCCTGAGCCTCCTCTTCTCCAGGCTGAGCCCCCCCAGCTCCCTCAGCCTCTCCTCACAGCACTTGTGCTCCAGTCCCTTTCCCAGCCTCGTTGCTCTCCTCTGGCCCTGCTCCAGGACCTCCATGTCCTTCCTGAGCTGAGGGCCCAGAACTGGACACAGCACTCCAGGGGTGGCCTCCCCAGCGCTGAGTCCAGGGGCAGAATCACTTCCCTGGCCCTGTTGGCCACCCTGTTCCTGCTCCAGGCCAGGATCCATTGGCCCTCTTGTCCCCCTGGGCACACTCTGGCTCCTGTTCAGCTCCCTGTCCATCCCCACTCCCAGCTCCCTTCCTGCCTGGCTGCTCTCCAGCCCCTCTGGCCCAGCCTGGAGCTGCCAGGGGTTGTTGTGGCCAAAGGGCAGGACCCGGCCCTTGGCCTGCTTGAACCTCATCCCCTTGGAATCAGCCCATGGATCCAACCTGGCCAGGTCCCTCTGCAGAGCCCTCCTGCCTTCCAGCTGATGGACACTCCCCCCCAGCTTGGTGTCATCTGCAAATTTGCTGATGGTTCACTCAATCCCCTCATCATCAATAAATCCATGGAATCATCAGCGATCCTCACGTGCAAGCTCAGGATGGCAGGAAGGATGTTCTGTTATAGCCCTGCCTTTAAGATCCATCAACTATGGATTTGTAGCACGTAAACCTCGTTAAATACGTAGTTTTTTAAGGTTTATATAAAATAGAGAAGGAGTTTTAGGTAGTTTTTAACCTGCTGGAGCCCCAAACTCAACTGGTACTGTCAAGGATGGTCATCACCCCGTGACCATTCCGTGGAGGAATCACCGGCACCTCCAAAATCTACTTGTTCTGAGCACCAGCAGGGCAAGATTGTGATCAAATCCTCAGAAACCACCACTGGGAGAATATATCAGATGTATCCTGATAAATATTCATTATCCTGGCACTGCCCGGGAGCACCGGGATTGGCTTCCCGAGGGATGAAAATCCCGGAGCGGCCGGAGGTTGGGGTGGGGACGGCGGGTCCTGCCTTCATCCCGTCGCCTTCCCGAGGTCCCGGAGGGAATCCCCGTGTCCTGGAGGGCGGGAGGATCCATCCCGTGGAGTTGGGGGCTTGGGAGCGGTCGGGAGGCTCCCGAACCCCGATCCCTCTTTCCCGCAGACCTTCTTCTTCAACGTCTTCGAGTCGCCCTCGGAGCTGTTTGACACGCCCGTCTTCATCACCGTGAGTGCCGGGGATCCCTGGGATCCCGTGGGATCCTCCGTCCTGGGCGGGTCGGGGCTGGATTGACCCTTTCCTCGTGTTTTTTTCCCCCCCCAGGTGGTGGATTCCCGATCTTTCCGCCCGGACTCGGTGATCGGGGAGTTCCGGGTACGGTGCCCTCTCCCCTTCCCCCTCCCCCTGTCCCCCCTCACACTGACCCACGGGAGGAACTCCGGAATTCCCTTTTCCTTTCATCCCACAGATGGACGTGGAGACCGTTTACTCCGAGCCAAGTGAGCTTTGGGAACCCCCTTTTTTTTTTGTGGGGGCCAAACGTTGGGAAACGCGGACACAAATCACGGCTCTTCCGTGGACAAACCCAGATGTGTCCCTGTGTCCATCACCAGGGAATCCCAGACTGGTTTGGGTGGGAAGGAACCTCAAATCCCACCCAATCCCACTCCCTGCCATGGGCAGGGACACCTTCCACTATCCCAGGTTGCTCCAAGCCCCGTCCAACCTGGCCTTGGACACTTCCAGGGATCCAGGGGCAGCCACAGCTTCTCTGGGCAACCTATTCCTTCCCTGTTCCCACGTCCCTTCCAACTGACACATTCCCTGGTTCTATATTGAAGGAATGTGGTGTTTATCATAAAACCCTTCCCAGAGCATCCCTGGATCCCCTCCCTGCACGGCTCAGGGCTCTCCATCTCTTCCCCCCCCCAGAACACGCTTTCCTCAGGAAGTGGCTCCTGCTCTCCGATCCAGAGGATCTTTCCGCGGGGGCCAAGGGCTACCTGAAGGTCAGCGTCCTCGTGCTGGGGCCTGGGGACGAAGCTCCTGTGAGTATCCCCCTGGATCCCGTGGGACCTTCCACCCTTCCACCTCCCTGGGCCGCCAAACATCCCTTCCCAGGGAAGCCACACCTTGGGTCTTCCTCTGTTTCGGGGGCAAAGAGCTGCTTTTTGTCGTGGAATCCCAGCCGTGGAATCCCAGCCGTGGAATCCCAGCCGTGGAATCCCAGCCGTGGAATCCCAGCCATGGAATCCCAGCCTGGTTCGGGCTGGGAGGGACCTTCAATCCCATCCCACCTCCCACTAGGTCCAGGTTGCTCCGAGCCCCGTCCGGCCTGGCCTTGGACGCTTCCCGGGGTGGGGAATCCACACTTCTCTCTCCTTTGGGGTTTCCCTGCTCGTCCCGGGCCTGTCGGGAAGCCTGGTTGAGTTTTCCCTGTCGCTCTGTCCCCCCCTGCAGCTGGAGAAGAAGGAGGTGTCCGAGGACAAGGAGGACATCGAGGCCAACCTGCTGCGCCCCACCGGGGTCACCCTGCGGGGGGCCCAGTTCTGCCTCAAGATCTTCAAAGCCGAGGATTTGCCCCAGAGTAGGTTCCCCTTGGCTTTTCGGAGCGCCCCGGATCCCTCGGCGTCGCGGCGTTCCGGGCAGGAATTCGGGCTCAGGGGAGGGAATTATCCACAGCCTCGGTCCAAAGACCTTCTACATACCAACCAGTCGTGATGTGCTGGGAGATGGGTCTGCCACTGGTGCAAACTGGTTTTGTCCACCTGGGGAGCTTCTCCCCGATGGAAAAGCCGGTGGGGCAGCCGGGACCAGGCGGACGCCGCTCCCGGAATTCCTTGAGCTTCAGGGTCTCCCCCTCCTGCTCCCAGTGGACGACGCCGTCGTGGACAACGTCCGGCAGATCTTCGGCTTCGAGAGCAACAAGAAGAACCTGGTGGATCCCTTCGTGGAAGTCACCTTTGCCGGCAGGACGGTCAGCGGGGCCCGGGCAGGGCTGGGGGGGAAGGGGGGGCTCCCTCGGGATCCTGGGAATGGGATGGCAGGGGGACAGTCCCTGGGAATGGGATGGCAGTGGGATAGTCCCTCCTGGGTCCCTGGGGCTGGGATGGCAAGTGGGACAGTCCTTCCCAATCCCTGGGGCTGGGATGGCAGTGGGGTGTTCCCTTGGGATCCTCAGGGGTGGGATGGCAGGGGGTGTTCCCTTGGGATCCCTGGGAATGGGATGGCAGTGGGACAGTCCCTCCCAGTTCCCTGGGGCTGGGACACCAGTGGAGTGTTCCCTCAGGGTCTCTGGGGCTGGGATGGCAGTGGGACACTCATTCCTGGGTTCCCAGAGCTGGGATGGCAGTGGGACAGTCCTTCCCAGTTCCCTGGGGCTGGGATGGCAGGGGGGTGTTCCCTTGGGATCCCTGGGTCTGGGATGGCAGTGGGGTGTTCCCTTGGGATCCCTGGGACTGGGATGACAGTGGAACAGCCCCGTTCCCAGCCCCGTTCCCAGCCCCGTTCCCAGCCCCGTTCCCAGCCCTATTCCCAGCCCTATCCCTGTGTGTGTGTGACATGCTGGGATCCGTGTGGTGCCACCAGAGCAGTTTCTCCTCTGGACTTTTCCTGGTGCTGATGCCTCACAGACGGGTCTGGAGAGGCTGAACCCACGAGCTGCCACCTGCCCTTTGAGCCACAGCAGCACTGAGGGGCTGGAAGTCTCCTCTTCCCATGGATCTTCCCATGGGAACACCATCTGGGGGGGGGAACACAGGCTTGGGACATCCTTCTGGTGGTCCTGAGGTGGGGAGATCCCCGAGCATCCCCCAGCATCCTCTGCCTCCTGCACTGAGGGGGCTGCAGAGCCCCACGGGGTCACCCATGGGATGGGGGTGGGATTTTGGGGATCCTGAGGCTTCCCAGCTCCTGGGGTGGTGGGAGCAGCACTGACTGTTCCCTCCTCCATCCCACCCCTCCAGCTCTACTCCAGGATCCTGGAGAAAAACGCCAACCCCCAGTGGAACCAGTGCCTGACCCTGCCGGCCATGGTGAGCACTGGTGTCCCCAGGATCCCCCATCCCTGATCCCACCATCCCTCACCATTCCCTGGTGAGCACTGGTGTCCCCAGGACCCCCCTCCCCCCCGATCCCACCATCCCTCCCCATTCCCTGGTGTCCCCAGGACCTCCCTCCCCCCCGATCCCACCATCCCTCCCCATTCCCTGGTGAGCACTGGTGTCCCCCTGGGCACCCCATCCCTGATCCCACTATCCCTCCCCATTCCCTGGTGAGCACTGGTGTCCCATGAGCAACCCACCCCCCTGATCCCACCATCTCTCACCATTCCCTGGTGTCCCCAGGACCCCCCACCCCCCGATCCCACAATCCCACCATCTCTCACCTTTCCCTGGTGTCCCCAGGACCCCCCACCCCCCGATCCCACCATCCCTCCCCATTCCCTGTCTCTTTTCCCAGTTCCCTTCCATGTGTGAGCGGATGCGGATCCGTGTGACCGACTGGTGAGTGGGGTTGGGCTCCCCGTGCCCGGGGCAGTGGGATGGGCACGGAGGGACCCCCCGGTGTGACAGTGTCCCCTGTGCTGCCCCAGGGACCGCCTGACCCACAACGACGTCGTGGGCACCGCCTTCCTGGCCATGTCCAAGATCTCGGCCCCCGGCGGGGAGCTGGAGGGTAAGGGCAGGAAGGGGGCTGGGGTTTGGGATGCATGGCCCTGGAGCAGCTCTGGGATTTGGGATGCATGGCCCTGGAGCAGCTCTGGGCTTTGGGATGCACAGCCCTGGAGCAGCTCTGGGCTTTGGGATGCATGGCCCTGGAGCAGCTCTGGGATTTGGGATGCACGGCCCTGGAGCAGCTCTGGGATTTGGGATGCATGGCCCTGGAGCAGCTCTGGGACGTGGGATGCACGGCCCTGGAGCAGCTCTGGGATTTGGGATGCATGGCCCTGGAGCAGCTCTGGGATTTGGGATGCACGGCCCTGGAGCAGCTCTGGGATTTGGGATGCACGGCCCTGGAGCAGCTCTGGGATTTGGGATGCATGGCCCTGGAGCAGCTCTGGGATTTGGGATGCATGGCCCTGGAGCAGCTCTGGGATTTGGGATGCATGGCCCTGGAGCAGCTCTGGGATTTGGGATGCACGGCCCTGGAGCAGCTCTGGGATTTGGGATGCATGGCCCTGGAGCAGCTCCGGGATTTGGGATGCACGGCCCTGGAGCAGCTCTGGGATTTGGGATGCATGGCCCTGGAGCAGCTCCGGGATTTGGGATGCATGGCCCTGGAGCAATCCGGATTTTGGGATGCAATGGCCCGGGAGCGTCGCTGCATGTAGGGGCTGGAGGTCGGTGGTGGCGTGGGGTGGCCACGGACTGGTCACCTGTCCCTGCCTGGACACGTGGGATGGGTCCGGGGGTCTCCCTGGTCCCGTGTACCTGTGCTGGGTGGGAACAGCCCTCCAACCTGGAATCGTGGGTGCTGGGGGTTTGGATCCTCTCCTGGCGGTGGCCGCGGCGGTGCCCTGTGGGGTTGGGGACAAAGTGGGGGTGTCCCAGAGACGGCAGGTGCCACATCCCCCCCGTGCCCCACCGGTGCTCCTCGGATGGGGGAATTTGGGGCTGTCCCAGTGTGGGATCCCCACCACAAGGGTGAGATCCACCAGCTCTCCCTGACCCAGCTCGGGCTCTCCCCATCCCGGGGGGTTCCAAGACCCTCAGAGGGTTGCTGCAAGGGAGGGACGGTGACACGGGGGACCAGGGATGGGGGGTGACACTGTGACAGGGATGGGGGGGTGACACTGTGACAGGGATTCATGGGTGACACTGTGACAGGGATGGGGGGGTGACACTGTGACAGTGATGGGTGGGTGACACTGACAGGGATGGACAGGGTGACACTGTGACAGGGATGGGGGGGTGACACTGTGACAGGGATGGACAGGGTGACACTGTGACAGGGATGGACAGGGTGTCACTGTGACAGGGATGGGGAGGTGACACTGTCACCTGTGCCAGGTGGGAGGGCAGGGAGCTGGGGCACAGTTTTGGGGCTGCTGAGGGCCCGGAGCAGAGCCTGCCCCGTCCTGCATGAGCATGTCCTGCTGCCAAGGCCTGGTGGCACCTGGATCCCCCCGGGAATGTCCTGTCTGGCTTTGGGCATCTCGGGTGTCCTGGGACCCCCCACCCCATAAGGGACACAGGATCCAGGCTGGATGGGCTGGGAGCAACCTGGGCTGCTGGGAGGTGTCCCTGGGAGCGACTGGGTGGGCTTTAAGGTCCCTTCCAACCCGAGCCATTCCACAATTCCGTGGATCAGCCCCCAGGACGTGGCCCAGGTGCTCCAGCCCCGTGTCCCCCAGCCCGTGTCCTGCCCCGGGCCTGCCTGGCTCTGCTTGTGTGCCCAGTGTGCCCAGTCCCCTCCTCCCCAGTTCCAGCACGGCTCCTGGGCTGGGCTGGAGAGAGAGAGAGAGGCCCGGAGGGAGGTGGGATCCCACCCCACCGCTGGGATCTGCCAGGGAATGCTCCTCAGGGATGCTCAGATCCCGGTCCACCCCAATCCTACAACCTCTGGTGACGGGCTTGGACAGGCCTTGGATCAGCCTGGGCTGCTGGAAGGTGTCCCTGGATGGGCTTTAAGGTCCCTTCCAACCCACACCATTCCATGATCCCACGTGCCAACCTCTCCCTTTCCTTCTCTGTCTCTCTCCTGTCTCTCATTGCTAAATCCCAGGAACATCCCCCCTCGTTCCCCGTCCCCCCCCATCCCTTTTCCAGGCTCCTCTTCCAGCCTTTCCTGACCTCTCTGCCTTTCTTTGTGCCCCAGATGAGTTTCCTGCTCCCCCGAAGCCCCCGAAGGCCTCAGACCGTACGTCCCAGTAACGTCCCCGTCCTGTCCCAGTTTGGCGCCGCTTGGGACTGGTTTTACTGGTTCAGTGTCCGGGCTGGGGGAGGATCAGCTGGGTTCAGTCTGGGCACCTTGGGAGAAGGGAATGGCTCCGGCTTGGCCTCCTCCTGCCCTCTGGGAGCAGGGAAAGGGCTCCCCTGCCCTTTGGGGTGTCCCTGCTGGCATGGGGAGCTCAGGGCAGGGCCCTGCCGGGGATTCCTGCCCAAAATTCCATGAAAAGGGGTGATTCTCTTCGTGGAATCACAGAACTGGATAGGTTGGAAAATCCCTGTGATCCAACAAGTCCAGCCATTCCCCCGGCACTGCCAAGGCCACCCCTGGCCATGTCCCCAAGTGCCACATCCTCAGGGTGTTAAATCCCCCCGGGAATGGGGACTCCCCCCGCCCTGGGAAGCTGTGCCAGGGCTGGAC